CTCTAGCCATATTAGGACCTTTCAACAGGTGACTAGGACCCACGTGGCGTTCCCGCGTGCAAGCGCAGCCACACAACGGTCAGGCGTAGTGTAACGCTCCAGAGTCCAAAGGGCTTAGATCCACTCCACACGATGAGTGAACCAAACCTACCACCATTGTACTTACGCTTTCGTCCTCGCTTCACGTAACAATGAGTGACCACACCTACCACCATCCTACTTACGCTTTCGTCTTCGCTTCACATAAAAGGATTAACCCGGGGATGGTGGGATGGACTCTAGAAGCCTTATATGTTGGTCTATCCCACCTTTAACATTCAAGGTGGGACTAAACTCTACATAATATCCTATTAACATGCACATGGATCACTATGGGCCAAATTTCAAACTAGGCCAAATGTTACATACACCCCCCTCAAAGGAACCGACGTCCTCGTCGGCCCAACACACCCACAATCAGGCAAACGATGACCAGAAACGTTCCCTCTTAGCACACGCGACCGTGCGTTCAGTGCCGGCACATGTGCTATGCCGTGCACCCCCGCAGGGCCTACACACGCAATGAACCCCATGTCCACACCCCTGACCCGCACGCATTCGTGGCTGCGAAGGTCGGCTCCGATACCATTTGTAACGCTCCATAGTCCAAAGGGCTCAGCCCCGATACCATTTGTAATGCTCCAGAGTCCAAAGGGCTCAGATCCACTCTGCACGATGAGTGAACCACATCTACCACCATTCTACTTATGCTTTCGTCCTCGCTTCACGTAAAAGGATTAACCCGGGAATAGTGGGATGGACTCTAGAAACCTTATATGTTGGTCTATCCCACCTTTAACATCCAAGGTGGAACTAAACTCTACATAATATCTCATTAACATGCACATGTGCCACTATGGGACAAATTTCAAATTGGGGCGGATGTTACACGTAGCAGAGCGAGCGTGATGGTAGGGCGGGAAACAGCATGGGGTTCACATCACATGGTGGGGCGTGCGAAAACAGGCAACGCGGGCTCTGCTTCTTACGTGCGCGGCACCGTCCAACGCTAGCGCTCTAGAAAGGTTGTCCGGGCGCTAGCAAATTCGTATATTTTGTACAATAAAAGCTTAGCTTGACCAAACGATCACATCCATACCATATTCAGGGCTCAGTATCTCCACAAAGGCTGAGGTAACACAACAGTAAGTGTCCATATTTTTCATTGGTACATATTTTGATTTTGCAGATTATGATGCGGTAACAATGCAAACATGTTCTATTTTATTAGGTCATCCATGAAAATATGATAATGATGTACTTCACCTCGGTAATACAACTCTCTTTTATTGGGCCATCCAGAGGATAAGGTAACACAGCAGCTCTCTTACGCGCAAGGAAAAGAAAATGGCTTTTCTACCCTAAACCCTTGCAGAGAAATTGTACAATCAGCAAGCTAATAGAAAGCGCTAGTTGCTAATAAGAAGAGAGAACTTGATGTAAAATCTGAAACTCACAAAGTAGTTAAATTGAGAGTTTATGTTATGCTCGCCGATTGACATAAAACCTGTAATTTATGGGTGGCTCTTATAAAATCTTTTAAAGATGCAGATTGTCTGGTCAATAACATGCAGTGTTTTCAAAATTTTCCTCAAAATTGTTGTGTGGTGAACACAAAAAATTAGCAACCTTGTACTCAGTACTCACCAAACTGCATCCGAGCACAAATGTTCTTTGCTTTCCCAATTCTTTTCAGTTCTGCTCCTAAAATATTTATTACTAGCATAATGAGATCCAGACAAAGATTGGATGCCACTATGTAGAATTGACAAAAACCAGCCACGCAAAAAATGGACTGCACTGCTAGAGAGGTACTGAATCAGAGCATTCCATATAGGCCCGAGTTCCCCGCAACCCTGTCCTGTGGTTGGATCAGGTCCTCCGGGCTCAGCGCCTGGCGGCCTGGGTCGGCGCCGTCCACCACTTGGACTCGGGATCAGAAGAGGCAGTGCAGAAGCAGAACAAACGCGCCTCCATTCCATGGGCGGAGACTAGAGACGCTGCATGGGTTGGGCTGGGCCCTTGAGGGAAAGTGGGCTAAACGGACTGATATATTGGGTGTCTATGGCTGTACAAAAGGAAACCAACCGTGTTGGACGGGCCCTGTCCGCCGACACAAGGAAAAAAATAGAGATATTTACCTATATGGCCCTCAAAATAATGCGTCTTTCTTTCATCGTCGGTTTTTTTCGAACTTACTTGTAAGATCCGAAAACAAAATTCTCTTACATGCGTGATCTTCCGTCCGTTTCTAGCACTTAAAAAATAAAATGCAGAGTTTAGTTTGTCTTTTTTAGATTTGGAGTAATATTGCGTAAATAAGTTCACACATATAAATGTATCTGATTATGTGTCTTATTATGTATTATTATATGTGTGGCCTGATTTGCGCAATATTACTCCAAATCTAAAAAGACAAACTAAAATCTTTATTTTGTTTTTTTTTCTATCAGGGGTAAAATGGTCATTTTATCTTTGACTTAGCATCGTTATGTGCTAAAAACGGACGAAAGATCGTATATGTAAAGAATTTTGTTTTCGGGCCTTATAGGTAAGTTAAAAAAAAAATCGGCCTGCACAACAAGGCATTATAGACTTCTATAGTCGTACACCGATGAGTTTGGTGTATCTGCTCTCACCACCCCAAGTCCCCCAACCACGCTCTGTGCTCATTAGTTCTCTTCATTCATGGAAGATTCCGATCCCTTGACTGCGACGGGTTACTGGGTGAAAGCCATGTATTTTGGCCTTTTGGGCGACTACGTACTAATCGTCGTCATAATCTCGCCGGAGTTTGCCGGTAAATTTCCGCTGCCAATCCGGTGCGATTGGCTGCATCGAACAACGTCCGGCGGACAGCAGAGCAAGACGGTAGCAGCCTTATTTTTGTGGGTCTGCATATTTTCGGTCGAGATTATAGAAGTGGTTGAAGAAGATATGGTTTTTGCCGGTTCCATCTTATCCTACTACATACCCAACTGTTGTCCTTAACGTTCGTCATGTTCGCTTGGCTTATAAGTCGTACTTTTTTAAGATAATAAATAGTATTTTTCTCTCACAACAAATCAATCAACATCATTTTCAGTCATAACTTATCAGCCAAACCAGGACGATAGTTTGTCCAGAGTCTGGACAGGCCACTTGTACTTAGGGTATGTTTAGTTGGGGAGGTGAAAAATTTTAGATGTCAAATCATCATATATTGGAAGGATGTATGGGGAGGATTTTTTGATAGATAAAAAAAACTAAATTACGAACCATCAAAATCACGAGATAAATCTAATGATACTAATTAATCTATCATTAGCACCTTGGGTGTTACTGTAGCACTTAAGACTTTTCATGGATTAATTAGACTTAAAAGATTTGTCTCGTGATTTTTTATGGGTTGCAATTAATTTTTTTTCGTATTTAAACCTCTTCCATATGTCAAACATGCTTTTTTCCTGTAGGAGAAAAAAAATTGAAAACTAAACAAGGCCTTAAACCAGGAGAGGTCGCCGAGTGTGCTGTCAGCCTGTCTCCATCACGAGCTGAGCTAGCCCTGCACTCTTGCAGGCTTCGTCCTGTTTCTTGTCTTGTACTACTCGGCAGCAAAGTACCAATGCCTCTTCTGCACGTACAAAAACTATACGAGAAAGTTTGAAACGGAAGGTCACGGAGTTTTGGCGTGAGAACCGAGGATCACCGCCGACGCGGACGCCGACGGCTGCAGGTTAACTTGTGGACCAATGAGGTGTGATGTATAAGCGACAGCATTGCTCGGCTGCACTTCCGCAGCAGCTGATTTTAGCTGTGGCTGCTTGATTTCTACAGTAGCTGCTGAGTGGTGTGGCTGCAGCAACCACCAGCAGCAGCGCTGCAGAAGCACAGCCTTTGGAAAAATGACGGTACCATCATCGTCTCAATAACTCCGATCCAAACACTACTCCAGTTGCAGGTTGCGGCAAGTAAAGTCCATGGAGACACGGACTATCTCGTGCACCCACCCGTCTCGCTGTCCTGCGGTAGCAATCGGCACGGGCTTGAATAGTTGGGCGTCAATGCACATGCTGATGCCGCTGAACTCAAGATGCGATCTCGGTTCGTCTCTATCCAGATTCGTCAGGACTCGGCAGCCCATTTTCTCTCCCCTCTCCAACAGCAACACACGAACTAAGGGGTGTTTTATGTCACATCGAATGTTTAGGTACTAAGGAGCATTAAATAAAGATTAATTACAAAACCAATTACATAGAGCCTAATTTTCGAGATGAATTTTTTAAGCCTAATTAATCTATCATTAGCACATGTTTACTGTAGCATCACGTTGTCAAATCATGGACTAATTAGGCTTAAAAAATTCGTCTCGCAAATTAGTCGCAAATTGTACAATTAGTTTCATAATTAATCTATATTTAATACTTCATACATATGTCAAACATTTAATATAACAGGAATTTTAGAGTTCCGCTTAAACCAAACAGCCCCTGATCTGAAGCTTAGCCGTCATTCCTTTCGAGGATAATAATAATCCCCGCGTCATGTGATTGCCCGCTGCACGATTTGTCGCCGTGGACTAACCAATCACAGCCGGCGAGGGATAAAAAAAAATCCCAGCTTTTTTGGCGCGGACGCCAGGAATCCCGTCACGTCCCAGAAGGCAAGGTCCTGGCGCCGAGCCGAGCGCGAGAAGAGCGGAGCGGATAGGCAAGAGCAGAGAGGTGTAGACAGCGCGACGGCCATTGACTTCTCCGCCTACCCTACCCTACCCTACCCCGTCCCGTCCGTCTCCGTCCCAATCGGATCCACCCGTCGTCGCCTATAAACTCTCCCTCCCTCCGCCTCTCCGGGGCCCGGCTCCCACTCAACTGCCACCGATTTGTTTGACCCCATCTCGGCATCTCCAGTCCTCCCTTTCCCACTTCATTGGTCGCTGCTCCCTTCCTCCACGGCCGATCTCTGTGCCGGCGAGAGGGATCATGGCGGGGGGAGGGGAGGAGGTGTACGTGGCGGCCATCGACCAGGGCACCACAAGCACCAGGTTCATCGTCTACGACCACCACGCTAAGCCCGTCGCCTCGCACCAGCTCGAGTTCAAGCAGCACTACCCGGAGGCAGGGTGAGTGTGTGCAGGTTTCGTGTTCTTCTCGGGCCTGAGATAGGTTGGGTAGCGGGTTTGTTTGCTCTAACTCTAGGATTATGCTGCGGTCAGTGCGAATTCTGGACCGTTGATTGATTTGGAGGGAATTAGGGAGTTGCTAATTTAAAGAGGAAAAAGTCTACCCCCACCTTTTATACACAGTCTACTTCACCCCCAACTATAAAACTGTCTGTTTTACCCCCTGAACTTTCTAAAACCGTCTGTTTTTACCCTGAACTTTCTAAAACCGTCTATTTTACCTCCGGGCGGTTTTTGACAGCGGGTTTGCTACCGTAACTCCGGGTTGCTACAGTAACAACGGTTTTGCTACTGTATTATAGCATACCGTATTAATTACAGAAAAAAATGGATTTTCCAATTAATCTAAAGCTAAAAAAAAAAATTTGTACTAAAGCATACCGTATTATATATTCACTGTGTAGATCTACTCACGTGGAGTCCAATAAAATTAGATTTTTCATTTTATGATTTAATATGATTTTTCAAAAATTCACCGAAAATAAATAAACAAAAAATTCAAAGCATCATTACTGTAGCAACCCACCGTTACTGTAGCAAACCGCTGTCAAAAAAACGTCCGGAGGGTAGAATAGACGGTTTTGGAAAGTTCAGGGGGTAAAACAGACGGTTTTTAATAGTTGGGGGTGAAGTAGACCATGTATAAAAGGTGGGGGTTAAGTAGACTTTTTTCCAATTTAAAGATGTCAGTTTTTTGTTTGTTCTGACGCTTTGACTTAATTGTGAAAAGGTTCAGTGGAGTAACTGTAAGATCTGTATGAGTTGCCGCTTTGTCCAGTTGTCTTAACTTTAGTGGCTCAATTGGCAATTTATTGGATCTCTCCAACTAGGGTCATGTGTTTTTCTGTTACAAATAGAAACTTAGATGATCATCTAAAAGAGTATTATTCTAGGGGAAAACATAGTTACATAGCACCACAAAGTACTGAGGGTCACTATGAGGCGTGAACTCTTTCTTTGCTAGACCAATTCGGTGCCTCATCAATTGGCAACTTTTGCTTTGCCTTTTGATTTCCCTTCCCTATGTTCATTAAGGCATGTCTGCCTAATTAACTTGCTTTAAGCATGGTACTGTTATTTCACTAGCTATCATGATGAACTTTCAGGAGCGCTGATCATCTGACTCTGACCTTTGATATATTGTTTGTACCTGTAAATTGCTAGCTTTGTTAGGAATCTCACATATTCTCTTTATTTCATTATTTCCATTTATATGTGCATATGAAGTTAGAAATCTACTATACCTTAGTCACGCTGTTTCATGCTATTTGGCTTGAGTCACTGTAGGGGTAATCTGTTGTGCCGGGCATTTTCTTAGATGGATATGTAGGGGTAATCTGTAGTCCCATCTTTCTGTTTAAAGCAATGACAGTTGTCATGGTCTCTGATTTTGTTCTTTCTATGTTTGTGTGAACTAAAAGGTGGGTTGAGCATGATCCTATGGAGATTATAGAGACTGTTAAGGTGTGTATGAAAGAGGCAGTTGGCAAAGCCAAAGATGGTAAATACAATGTGGTTGCTGGTTTGAAGGCCATTGGGATCACAAATCAGAGGGAAACCACTGTTATGTGGAGTAAATCCACTGGCCGCCCACTGTATAATGCCATTGTGTGGATGGATGCTCGCACAAGCCCTGTTTGCAGGTCGTCTTCTTTTTATCATTCACTCATTTTATATTAACATTTGACATTGTTAAATCTTCTCATCATGCTTCAACAATATAGGAGACTGGAAAGTGAGCTATCAGGCGGTAGAACCCACTTCGTGGAGACATGTGGGCTGCCAATCAGTACCTATTTCAGTGCTCTGAAATTATTATGGTTGATGGAAAATGTGGATGCTGTCAAGGATGCAGTCAAGACTGGTGACGCCTTATTTGGCACAATTGACACCTGGTTGATTTGGAACCTTACAGGAGGTGTTGCTGGTGGGCAGCATGTCACGGACTGCTCAAATGCATCTCGTACAATGCTTATGAATCTAAAGACACTTGACTGGGATAAGCCAACACTTGATGTGTTAGGAGTTCCTCTTGAGATTTTGCCAAAGATTATCAGTAATTCAGAGAAAATTGGTGTGGTCGCCAAAGAGTTCCCCTTTGCAGGTGTCCCCATCTCAGGGTGTCTTGGAGATCAGCATGCTGCTATGCTTGGGCAGCTGTGCCAGAAGGGTGAAGCGAAAAGCACCTATGGAACTGGTGCCTTCATCCTTCTTAACACAGGGGAAGAGCCTACCCAATCCTCCCATGGTCTTCTTAGCACCATTGCTTACAAGCTTGGCCCAACTGCACCCACTAACTATGCTCTTGAAGGGTCCATTGCAATTGCAGGCGCAGCAGTTCAGTGGCTGAGGGACAGCCTTGGAATCATTCAGTCAGCAGCTGAAATTGAAAAGTTGGCTGAAACAGTGCCGGATTCAGGTGGTGTGTACTTTGTGCCAGCATTTAATGGGTTGTTTGCACCATGGTGGAGGGATGATGCAAGGGGGATCTGCATTGGGATCACAAGGTTCACAAATAAGGGGCACATTGCTCGATCAGTGCTTGAGAGTATGTGCTTTCAGGTGAATGATGTTCTCAGCTCCATGCACAAGGATGCTGGAGAGGCAGGAGAAGTAAAGAGTGCAGAAGGAGAGTTTTTGTTGCGTGTTGATGGTGGTGCTACTGTTAATAATCTTCTAATGCAGATCCAGGTAAAGAAAATTACCTCTTCTCTCTACTCGTATACGAGCACTTATCCATATCTTTTAAGAATTGAATTTGTGATCAATTACTACCGTGCTTTCAGTACATGTTATTTTTGCTTCATTTTTTTAAAGACCCGGAACCTGCCGGCTTGTATGAATTAATAAGTAGGAAAGAGATACATGCGCCAGAGACAGATAACTAAAATTCCAATTTAGCAGACTGCTAAGGTGGAGCCCAAAAAAAAAAAAAAAAACTACTCACGATCTACATCGACAACAAAAGGACATAGGTGTTTTGCACCGGCCCTGGTCCATAAGCGGGCTTCATCTTGTATCTCACTGATAACCTTGTCCACTGACTTTTCTTTCAGTTGGAAGACCCTATCATTCTTTTGTTTCCAAATAATCCAAACGACGAGAATGGCCAATGGCTGTGTTGCTTTGCTTCCATTGGCAGCCATTTCCTGGAACCAATTATGAATCGTGTTCAGATATGACTTTTTTTTTGAACTCAAGTGTTCAGATATGACCAGTTGGTCAGGTTCTCGCATGAAGTCCAGGATCCTACCCTTTCCCATACCCTTCTTGCAAATGGGCATTCCACAAAAAAAGGTGCAACGGTGTCTCTAAGTTTCTTTCACACATGGGGCAGAAATAGTTATTTGGCCAGCCTTTTTGTTGTAACCGATCTGCTGTCCAAATATGATTTTGTAGAAGTAACCAAGTGAAAAACTTGCAACGTGCCGGCGCCCAAGGCTTCCATGCTTTCAGTTAGTGCTTTTAGCTTGTGGGACATGGACGAAGTCTTAGAATTCTAGATGATAACTCCCCGTGCTTCTCTCTCCTATTAAGATCAACTCAGAACACAGTTTCTTCAATAAAAGGAATGTTCAATCTGGTGTGGCAAATTCTGCATGCTGACAGCAGTAGACTGTCAGATTCAAGTAGTACAAAAATCTTTTTACGTTGTATGAAGTCCAAACTATGTTTTCATCCTTGAAAATCTGGCTCATCTGCAAATTGATACACACCAGTAATATCACCCAATTAGCAGAACACAAGTGTGGACTATCATGAAAAAAAAATCTAAAAGGAGGTTGCGAACTCAATGCATCAATTCACCATATCCATGTTTGTCTGCTTAGCGGTATGCGTTCTTAACTTCTTGTGTGATCTTACCTGGCACAGATCTTTCTCATTTATTTTCTTTGCAATTGTAAGAAAAACTAAAAGCTGTTGAAGTTTGCATTGGATGACTTTTTTTTTAGATATCGGTTTGCATTGGATGACTGACGATAGCTTGGTTACTTCCTACCTGCAGGCTGATTTATTAGGCAGCCCTGTTGTCAGACCCGCTGACATAGAGACCACAGCCCTTGGAGCTGCATATGCTGCTGGGTTAGCTGCAGGAGTCTGGACTAAGGAGCAGGTATTTGCAGGTTTGCATAAGGAGAACACGACAGCCTTCCGCCCAAAACTGGATGAGGCGCACAGGAAGAAGAGAGCAGATTCGTGGTACAAGGCGGTTTCAAGATCATTCGATTTGGCTGATCTTTCTCTGTAAATTTATCTTGTTTCAAGCTTAATTATTCAGCCAGTCCGCGCTCCTCTTATCGTTGCTGTATCTGTTTTTGGAGCTGCAAATGAATAAATTGGTCTTCGCTGGGACTATTCTTAACTACTTGTTATTTATATGTAACATCACGATCTTTACAAAAATGAGTACAGGAACATCGTCAAATTTTCAGCAGGAAGTGTTTTTCCTGGAATATTTATGTGTGATTCCATAGCCGAATGGTTTGCATGATACGTTAGACTGTCCCATCAACATATACAACTGGAGAAGCTCAATTTCCAATCTGCAACTTTGCTCGAGAATTTAAACTGCTGATCGTGTCTGTGTAGTACCCTACTATATTGTACAAATGTTACAGTTAATCGTCGTGCAAATATGTATTTTTTAGTAAGCATTAATAATTGCCTCCGAGAAAAAGAGTAAGAATACATAAGCCTTATACTTTGTGATTATATGAGAAACTGGAGTCAATATTAACAAGAAAGTCTTGGATGAACAAAACAGCAGAAGCGGCATTTGTGAGGTACTAGCAAGGTTGCTCTTCCATTAAAAGCTTTTAGCATATATTGAGAAGGCATAAAAGTTGGGTCGCTGTTCGCACATGCTTGCTTCTATTCCGATGTTAGGTACGCTGCACCTTATCCTACTAGATATTGATTCCTCTACTTAAGGATCGATGTCTTACGCGCATGTGCTGTGTCACGACATCAAATCCCTTTTTTGTGAAGGACCCTTCAATATTAGACACTACCTATACTAACTGATGCATCAATCTCTTCTTTTTTTCTTTTTGAACGCAATGGCAGGAGCTCAGTTTTCAATTAAGATAGAGAAAAAAAGTTTATGTACAAACAAAGACACACTAAATGAGGGTTTAAAGCCCCCCGAAGCAAGAATAAGAGGCAAACACACACACCAAGAGGGAAACAGCAGCTAAACATAAGCGAGTGCTCTCTTCCTTTGCTCTATGTCTTCCTTTATTCTTGCGGCCACTTGCGGCACCGTTTCTATCTCGTTGTTGAAAATTCTCCTGTTTCTCACTTTCCAAATATTCCAAAAGATGTAGATTAGTACTCCGTTTAGTCGTCTACGTTCTGATATGGATGGGGTCTGCCTTGGGTGCTGTTGTTGCAGCTGACTGAAATTTTTCCAAGAGATGATTTGATCCCAAACCACCTTAACAAAAGGGCAACATAGACAGGGGTGGAGGCCTTTTTCCAAGGGACCGTTGCACACCATGTAGTGTTCTTGGTGTGGCAACCCTCTCTTTTGTAGGTTGTGTGTCGTAAGATTTTATCTTGCACCAAAATCCAGGCGAAGATCTTGCATTTGTTCTCCACTTGTGCTTTCCAAATGAGTTCAGTACGGAACAAGACGAGGGAGCCTTTGAATTGAATTATGTAAGCTGAGCGGGTGGAGTAAGTCCCATCCTAGGTCCATTTTCCAGGTGATGGAGTCCTGAACGCCCTGCTGCAGGTGCACGTCCTGAATTCGTATCCAAAGGGACACAAAATCATCTATGTGGACAGTCGAGGTGATTTTCTCTCTTAGTGAGCGCATCCAATTATTGTTTCGGAGTTCTTGTTGCACTGTTCGGTTTTTCCTTAAAACAAGCCGAAACAAATTCGGTGCTAAGTACCTTGGAGCTTCTCCTTCAAGCCAATTATGGTGCCAAAACCGAGTCTTTGCACCATCACCCAAAGTTATGTTGATTGAGGAGTTGAAAAGGAGACGATCAACATCAGTGCGTGGAAGCTCTGGGCCGATCCAAGGCTTGGAGTCCTCCACCCATTCTTGCCATAGCCAGCGTAACCGGAGGGCTCTCCCAAATCTATCAAGATCAGGCACGCCTAAGCCACCAAGGTATTTGGGTCTGGTAACTGTTGGCCAGTTAACCAGGCAGTGTCCACCATTAGCATTCTCCTCCCCCTTCCACAAGAAAGATCTCCTGATTTTGTCAATCTTCCTCTTAGCCCATGCCGCCAAGTGAAACACTGCGAGGTGGTAGGTTGGCATGGAGGAGAGGACTGAAGTTACTAGAGTGAGGCGTCCTGCTTTGTTTAGCCATCTTCCTTTCCATTTGGGTAACCTTTGTTCAATACGCTCAATGAGAGGTTGCACATGGACCTTTTGTAGTGATTTGGTATGGAGTTGCAGCCCCAAATATTTACATGGGAAGTCACCTTTACTACCGGTGAAGGGTGATAGGACTTGGTCTAGATCGATATTTTCACATATGATTAGATGCACAGAGCTTTTTTCTAGAATAATATGGAGTCATGAGAATGTGTCGAATGCTTGGAGAATAATTTTGACCGCTTCTACATCTTTTTTTATTGGGTTGATGAAAATAGCCGCATCGTCTGCATACATAGAGGTTCTCCATTTTGCCACCATGATGGGTAAGGGGGTGAGTATCCCATGTTGGGTTGCTTGGTCAAGCAAACGTTGAAGTGGGTCCATAGCCAGAATGAAGAGCATAGGTGAAAGCGTATCTCCCTGCCGGACGCCTCTGGCATGGCTAAAAGTGGATCCTTGCCGCCCATTAAGCAAGGCTGTCGAGGTGGATGTACGGAATAGAATAGAGATCCATTCACACCAGCGTGGTCCGAAGCCCAGAGTTTGTAGAATCTCTAGCAAGTACCCTCAATTTACCATGTCAAAAGCTTTGTGGATGTCCAGTTTCATGAACAAAGCCGGTATCTTCTGCCTGTATAGCTTTCGTACTACTCCCTAAACGTAAAGAAAATTATCATGGATGCTTTTTTTTTCTGAATGCGCTCTGGCAATTGGAGACGAGGGAGTTCAGTCGAGGGGCAAGTCTATTAGCTAACAATTTGGAGAAGATCTTTGCAATGCTGTGGATGAGGTTGATGGGTCTAAAATCGGTGACTCTCGTTGCATCCGCTTTTTTGGGTAGAAGAACGATGCATGTCGAGTTTAGCCATTTAAAACCCTGGACGCTGCCATAACATCCTCTAATAATTTTCCAATAAGCTTTGAAGAAGGCAACCGTGAAGCCATCCGGGCCTGACGCTTTGTCAGAAGGCATGGAATTAATAATATTTTTTACCTCATCCTGGGAGAAAGGAACTTCCATGTCCGAGAGATCAAGTTGAGTGTAGCCAAGAGATTGCCAATTGATAGTTGTGGTTCTCGGAACTGCGGAGCTAATGTGATTTTTAAAATAATTCCCTGTCATTTTTTCTTTTTCTTCGTGAGCAATCGCAATCCCCTCATCTATATACAATGTATGTAATTTTTTCTCCGACGTACACGGGCTCTAATGTGAAAAAAATTAGAGTTAGCATCTCCACAACGGATGTATGTGAGCCTTGATCAGTAGCTTTTTTTTTCCCTTTCAAGTTACAAGCACAGTTTTGCGCCAATGCACTCGGCTGTACTTCATTTTACATAAAAAACACAGTTTTATTAAGGACTACATATCCACTATCCACTTTTATCTAACAACAGTAGTATTTGATATCGTAGGATGCGAGTACAGTACGCCATAGTGACTCAACATTAAGGGCCACTTTTCACATTACAACTAACCAATCTAAGCATGACTGCATAAGCAGATGACGATGGTAGCAGAGTGTAGACACGGCTAAGAACATAGCTCTGAATTGGCATGGAGAGAACAGATAAAACATAGCTCTGAAAGCAGATGTCCTCAGCTCCATGCACAAGGATGCTGGAGAGGCGGGAGAAGTAAAGAGCGCAGAAGGGAGTTCTTGTTATGTGTTGATGGTGGCGCTACTGTTAATAACCTTCTAATGCAGATTCAGGTAAAGAAAATTTTCTCCTTCCAACATGTTTTACAAAAGAAAAATAAAGAAAGTAGTAGGTGATTTTACATGAGCTTCTATTATCACACAAGTATTTATACATACATGTTTTGCTTAGTATGGATGTCTGAAATTCTGAATCAGAGCAAGTAACATACGAACTAAAGAAATCCACACAGAAAATTTAATATCACCCGAAAATTTCGGTGTTATGTTTTTTTAAATGGTGTTTTTATCGTTGGACCTTTGGCTTGCTCAAAATGGACAAATGCAGGATATTGACTCACAGTGTTACTATCTCCATTTAAAATTTAGATTGAGTATTCAAATCGTGAAAAAAATGACCACCTGATTCTCCAAGGTGTGCCTGACATTCAGAATTCAGAAACTGTAGTCACATAGCACTATGCTGTAGAATCTGTCAGTGCAAAATTCTGCACTAGTATCTGTGGAAGGAACTGCATCTAACACTTGTTCAACGTCAGATCTGTACTGCCTCATTTCTGAAAGAAACTTTGGGTTATCACTTGCATGGTCTTTCTGAAAGCAGCTTGCAGATAGAGAAAACTAGACATGAGGTCCTTTTTTTCTCTTTTATTTTAATGTGTGTTTGCCATTATAGATGGCCGAACCATCTATATTTGCCATTAAGTGCAGCAATCTAGAGCGTGTTTAGTACCCTTGCTGGTTCCTGTTTTGCCTTGCTTGGCAAGGCTACCGTTTAGTAGCGACAGAAAAACTGACTCTGTCCAGCAATGAGAATCTGACTTGACTCGGCAAGGATCTCCTTGCTCGCGTGGGTGAGCCGAATGGGCTCTCTCTATTTCTTTTCCGAGCTGATCTTTCTAACAAATGCAATAAGTATCTTCAAGTTTTCATCTGAGCACTAACAAGGTGTTGTATGCACCCACCTGCAGGCTGATTTGTTGGGTAGCCCTGTGTGAGACCCCGCTAATGGGCTAAGTTGGGCCGGTTTGATAGGCTGGGCCGAATGTCCGAGCACTATAGAGACAGGTGATGCGAGCACTGTAGCATCGTGGAACACTGTAGCTACGGGAATTTAGCCAGAGCGTTAATTAGCAGGTGTGTGCTCTATTCAACACGTAGAGTGGATCTTAGCCGTATTCTCGGGCTGGGGTGTTATAAATGGTATCAGAGCCAACTCTCGCGGTTTCATGAACATATGGCTTGGAAACTCGGACAGGCTACGCATGGCTCTACAAGTCATGGCACTTGGGCTGGGGAGCTGGAAATATGGACGTGGACCAAGAGAGTCGATCCTGAACATTTGTCCTGTTTGAGTAGAACATCGAGTTCTAAGGTGGGTGTATGTGAGACCCCCAGTTGGGCCGAATTACTGAGTCCTGTAGCGATAGGATGATGTGAGTCACTGTAGCATCGCGGAACACTGTAGCTCGAGAAATTTAGTCCCAACCTGGAACCTGAAGGATACCGAACCTGTTTGAAGGTGTTTACTCCGGTTCGAACTTTTTACGTGAAGCGATGATGAAAGCGTAAGAGAGTTAATTAGCAGGTGTGGTCCATTCAACGTGTAGAGTGGATTTTAGCCATTATTCCGGGTCGGGGTGTTACAGATGGTAATCAGAGTCAACTCTCGCGGTTTCACGAATATATGGCTCGGGAGCTCGGATATGTTGCGCATGGCTCTGCAAAAGCATGGCACTTGGGTCGAGGAGCTGGGAATATAGACGTGGGCCAAGAGAGTCGATCCTGGACAGTTGTCTTGTTTGGGTAGGTGGGTTCGGCCCTCGACGAGGACGTCGAGTCCTCAAGGGTGGGTGTATGTGAGACCTCGCTAATGGGCCAAGTTGGGCCGGTCTGGGCTGGGCGAATGTCCGAGCACTGTGGATACAGGGTGATGCGAGTACTGTAGCATCACGGAACACTGTAGCTACGGGGATTTAGTTCCACATCGGACCTGAAGGGGTACCGAACCAGCTTAAAAGTCTTGGTCTGGGAAGCTGTTAACTCCGGTTTAAATCTTTTATGCGAAGCGAGGACAAAAGCGTAAGAAAATTAATTAGTAGATATGGTCTATTCAACGTGTAGAGTAGATCTTAATCGTCTTTCCGGACGTTATTACACCCTGTTTTCAGGCCAGCTGACAATAGAGACGACAGCCCTTGAAGCTGCGTACAGTATGCAGCTGGGTTAGCCGCTGTGTGGACAAAGGAGCAGGTGTTTGCAGGTATGCACTAGGAGAACACGACCGTCATTCCGCCCGAAACTGGATGAGGCCCACAGTTCATGGTACAAGGCGGTTTCTAGATCATTCGATTTAGCTGACCTCTCTCTTTAATTTTTTTTTTCCGAAAGATCGCCTCTCTCTTTAATTGGAGTACTTTAATTGGAGTATTGCATGTGGTTGGGTGTTGTATTTCCACGAATAGCTTTGCATTTGCTGCTGGCCTTCGTGAAGATTATCCATTCTCCTTTTATGTTAAATGGCTCAATCAGAGTATATCTGTCTGTACAAAACTGAGTATATAAATACAGCAGTAACTGATTGTACATTGTTCAATACTCTGATATACTCTTCTCCCGACACGGTACGGATTCCTGATTTCCTGTATTATGGAATGTCCGTTACACCATTTTTTCCCCTGTTCTCTCTCATGTCCATCTTCTCCCTCCAGTCCCTGTTCGAACAGCGCTCTCTGCCTTTGCTCCGGTGGCGTCCGGACAATACTGTACAACAAGACCCTAATGGAGCGTGGATCCGGACGCCCATAGAACCAAGAATGAGGAGCCCGTCTTGCCCATGGCTGGCCACCATCGGCCCTTGGCCGTGGCCAAGCTAGGTAGGCGTGTGGAGGATACGAGGGAGCATGCTGTCACTTGGTCCTGGCGACGGTGCTGCTTCTACTACTCGGAGACACTTTGGTTGTTGTTGATGTTGGTTCTCGGACTGCAGCAGTGCAAGAGAGAGAGAGTGAAGATGGCAGTACAAGAGGGAGTCGGGAAGGAGATGAGAAAGAGGCCGACATGGGAATCTCACATGTAAGGTGCACGGTTGGCAGCCATGCAGACAACTATTAGCGAACAATGGTAATTTGTACCTAACGTGGCTCAATTAACAAGTTTGAGGACATACATCTACAATTTTGGAAGTTAGGGATCTATAGAACATCACCCTGTAAGTTTAGTTCTAGATATGTGATTTTGGAAGTTTAGTATCTAAATTGCACCGTCATGCAAGTTTATGTGCTGTATCTAGCATGTCAAACCCATGTATCACTGAGTAAGCAATGCCACGTTGGCATATGTAGCGGCTCGAAACCTGTTTGCACCATTACTTCTTGAGCCCATGACAAGTTTAGAGACCCAAAAATAAATAAAAAATTTTGAGATCTGAATGACACCGTCTCTTAAATTTAGATACCACATGTTTACAAGACATATTCAGGAGGATCTGTCAGTATGTGCAACAAAGTTATGCAACATCTACCAAGAGCGAATCTAGGATAGAAACCCATTAAGGTCTTCTCTGAAAACGGGTGTAGCTATTAGGAACTAATTAGCACTATATACACAGTAATGTTCTATTAGAATTTCAAAAATTTATCGAGGTTGGTGGACCCCGATGGCAAATGTCGTTGCCAATGAACGAGCGCGAATCACACCAAATATTTTATAATGCATCTCCTATATGTTATTTTAGTATGGTCTTAAAATCAATTTAGAATACAAGAGAGCACTAATGTAGCAGATTACCTAAAATTTATCTCCTATATTCCTTTAGAGATAGATCTCAGCCTGTTCGGTTGGCTGGTTCGTTTCATTGCTGGTTCGTGAAGAAGTACTGCTGGCTGGTTTATGTAAAAGAAAAATACTGTTCCAACTAGAAATTTACGATCGTTTACGACAAGCTACAGTCAAACGAACAGGCTGAGAGAGGAGAGGTTGTCTCCTTTATTTAAGAGAACTAATGCTTGTTTTAAGAGATTTCATAAAAATTATAAGTATAGAAGATGAAATAGGAGATCTGCTCTCCCTCCGTTCTTTCAAGATTCATTGTTTTAACTATGTATTTAGACATAATGTACGTGTAAATGCATAATAAAAACTATTCTATCCTTTCAAATTATAAGATATTTTGTTTTTTTCTAGGCATATTATTTTTACTACGTATCTAGACATATTTTATATTTAAATGTAAAATTTTTGTTATATATCTAGAAAAATCAAAACGTCTTATAATTTAGAATATAATATCTATCTATCTATCTAGAAAAGTCATCATATTTTATAATTTAAAATGAGAGGGAATATTTTTTATACAGAAGGTTGGACGGAGGGGGTACTTTTTATGTATTGAAGATTAATATGATATTAGGCTATCTTCAATAACAACATTAAAAATATAAGATCTATTTGTCTTTTGTGTAGCGCTACAGGCAAAAGGTTCAATACATATTCGATATCTTCTCCAACGATAAGACTCAAAAGAGAATCATTTCTGTAAATGGGTTTCCAGAAGAGAGGACGTCCATATTTAGGTTGTGTCTCTCAAACAACTCAAAATAGATCTCCCATATAAATAATCTGTTGAAGACTAATTTTAAGTGTCTTTGTACCTATTTTAGGTGTAGGTGCCCCGTATATGAGACCGTCTTAAGTATAGAGGGATGGGTGTCTCCAAACCTTGAGCAATATACTCCGCTCCGGCGACGAAGACTCCGTCCTTCTTATCCCTGAACCACCTGAAAATCGCACCGCGGATCTGCAATTCCGCCGCAAGAGGAAACGAAGGAACAGGTGGTCTCTAGTCAGGCTGATTTGCACCGTCTCCGACTCAACCCTGCAGCGATTCACCGTTGCCAGAATCGCAGTAGTCCTGGCAAGTTCACGACCCTTTGTTTTAAAATCTTAGAACTTTTCGACAGTTTTCCATAGTTCAGTGTGATCATTAGAAAGATCGCATGTCATTCAGTGTCTGTGGTACGGGGATCTAATACCCCTGACCCTCTTTCGTTTCAAATCAGATCAGAGAGAGTAAAATGTAATTCAAACAACAGGGCTTCTGCGGAAGAGGAATCATGCCTTGTTTGTCTTTTTTTGTAATTGCCATCTTACAGCAGCTTGAAAATGTAGTACCCATAGGAGTTGGAACAGGAACAAATTTAGGAGAATTGAAAATGTAGTACCCATAGGAGTTGGAACAGGAACAAATTTAGGAGAACTGCATATGGATTTTCAAGGATTAGGAAAATCTGTGTCCTCATGAATCATATATTGGTACATAGATGGGAGGGCATACAGTAGGCTTGTTTTTTTCCCCCTGTTACAGTGCTGTTGCTGTGGCCATCTTTGGCCTTTTCTCCTACCTGTTCTTTTTAAAAAAAAAAAAGGAATCAGGATTGGTCATCCCACAAAAGAAGCAACGAATGACCAAATTAGGAACTCTGCAATACTGCAAACATCCTTTTGCATGATTCTAAAACGAATAGAGTATTTGATATGAGCATAGATTTCTTCCCTTCTTGAAACAAAATGAATGGCCTTTTGAATTTTAGCAAGATGAAAGCACTACAAGCCACAGGCAAGTAATATCATGGATTCATTCCAAAAAAGAAAAAAGACAAAAAATCAGCAGAAGTTTATTTTGTTTCTAAATATCAGTGGCTACTAGGCTTCTTCTTTTTACTTCATTTTTCAAGAGGAAAGTTTGATCCTGGCAACATGGTTTTTGTTTGAACTTTGAACTTCATCTTCTGTTATGCTTTTTCTTGGATATATTTGTATTAGTATAGCTATCTAGCTTTACATGTTACATGGGAACTACAAATTGGTGTTTTACAACCTCTAAAGTCAGTGCAGAAATATCCTTATATTCCTTTCTGTAAATATTTACACAATTTTTGCCTATCTTGATGTAGAAAACTGTGGTTGATTTTTATTTTGGAAGATTGGATTGGTAGAAATGGCTACAATTAAAAGCAATCAAGCTGATTCAATAGACATGAATAAGATGATCAGTTATATGAACAGGGAAATAAATCTCTACTGGTCTGCATTTGAGTCTAATGATGGAAACAATTTATGCTCGATCCACAAAGTGCCCCAACATTTACTTCAGGTCGATCAGAATTCTTATGAGCCAATAATTCTGTCAATTGGTCCTTATCGCCATGGAGCTCAGAACCTGATAGCAATGGAGAGAGAAAAGTGGAAGTGTTTAGACTTCATTCTGAAATTGAATTGTGAATTAAGCTTGCAGGATTACATAAGAGCAATATATAAAATAGAGAAACAAGCAAGGTTTTATTATTCCCAGGATATATCAATGAACAAAAGGAAGTTTGTACAGATGCTATTGCTTGATTCATGTTTCATCTTAGTAAAAGTTGATGGTACTGTTGGTGCACCAATTCCATTAGAAGAGGCCGATACAAATGGAGAAGAATGCCACAATTCTGGTCAAGCAGTTGAGAGCAACTCTGTGCAAATCCATGCAACTGACACGTCAGTGCATGAAATTGAATTAACCAATTTACGTGACAATGAACCTGAACCTCAAAGTAATAGAGCTTATGGTTATGATTGCAGTAGTTCTGGAGAATGGTATGCTAATTTTGTTTGGCATGATTTATTCTTGCTGGAAAATCAAATTCCCTTCTTCATTATTGAGACAGTATACAATATAGCCTTGAGCAAATGCAGGGTCAGGGCGCCACTTAGAGAACAAATTGTTGATTGTGTAGAAGATATTTTACGGCAGTTTCCAAAAGGCACCGGAGAATCTAACAGACCAAAAGATTTTCATCATTTGCTTCACTTATGTCATATGTACCTGAAGCCCACTCATAAGTTTGTTGAAATCAATCAACCCCAGTTGAAGATTAGCTTCTTTAACCATCTTGTTCATTTAGGACAGAGGTACTTCAATCTTGGTCCCGAAAAAGAGGAAAATGAGCAGCAGCAGTTGCTTACACATTCAATAAATTGCTTCCAAGACAAGCAGTTACCAAATTATTGGCGTCAAGCTGTACAATACCATGAAACAGGAGTTCAACTGAAGACAAGGGAGTACAGTTTCAATGACAGGCATTCACTCTTGGACATAAAATTCAGCAGTGGAGTTCTAGAAGTCCCACGTTTTGTTATTGATGAAAATACAGAATCTCTGTTTAAGAATTTGATTGCATTAGAGCAAACTGATCCCCGATTTGGAAATGACATCACAGCTTATATCGCTTTTATGTCTCAGTTTGTAAGCACTTCTGAAGATGTAGTACTACTTGCCCGGAGAGGTATAATTGTTCATATGCTGGATAGCGATGATGAAGTGTCAGCTATGTTCACCAGACTTGGCACAAATATATTCTTCGACTTTGGAACTGATAGCTACCATTACTTGAAAATTTTGTGCCATACATTGGAGGAGTATTACCAGAGCAGGCTGAATAGATGGATGGCTTGGCTCTGGCGTAATCACTTCAGCAATCCTTGGTTAGCATTAGGTGTGTTCGCTGCAATAGTCGTCCTAGTGTGTACAATTGTCCAGACAATATTCACTGTTCTAGCTTACAGGCAACCTCGTTAATGGCTATCATTTTATCATCTTTGGAGTGAACACCTCAACACCATCTTCTCGTCAGAGTTTTTCTCTATCCCCCTCTGATATTCATAATTGTTATGATGTCGAATGGCTCGGTGAGAATACTACATTTTCATGTTTTTAAAAAGAATGTATTCCTCGTATGCATGTAAACATGTAACGGTACATTGAAAAAAAAAATCTCTGTATGATTGTCTTTGTAATGTCTACGACTATGAGCTAAATATACAATTCACTATGTCCATGTAGAATTGTAGATTCCTGGTGAGATTAAAGACATCTATTCCACTTCGAAGACCAGAATGTTCATGATTTTGAATTTTTTGAATACACAAGTTATTTGGTGTTATATTAAAATGATTGTAAGATCAATTATATACCTGTTATTAAGAATATGACTAATGAAGTTTTTGGATTTAATATGCGACAATTGACAAATTCATTCATTTGAATGAGAAAAGAAAATACCCAATCCAACCATCTATGCAACTTGAATTGCAATATACTGTGACATTGTACCATATCTGTCATGGGTTTTTACAATTACGAGTGATTGCTATTAATATTAGTGAATTACAATATGGCATCGTAACATCTCTGAAACACCGATGGCTCTTCTTTTATAAAAACGAAAAAGTTATAACTTTATGAGTGAACAGATATTTGGGCTACTTCAATGCTTAACGTTGTCAGTTCTATCATGCACCTTAGGTACATCCTAGTAGATACTAGTGGCCACGCACGTGTTTATGGTTGTGGCAGGCAACGCCCTATTATATTATAGTATAAGAAGAATTTTAACATTGTTGAATACATAAAGTAAGATATGGTTTTAAAATTATTTTTATTAATGAGACGTCGACATGATAGGTTTTTTTTTTTTTTGAAAATATCTATTCTTTTTTTTGGGAAAATTTAAAATATCTATTCATTTTAGAGAGTTTGTATGCAGTCAACAAGAAAGTAAATTAAATTTTCTAATATTGAGAAATGTTGTAACTTGTATCTAATACATTTACATGGTATGATATATAGTTTATATGCATCAATTTCTCTCTCTCTTTCCCTCTATATATCTCTCCCTCTCACTCAATATCTCATCACCTCTTTCTCTCTTCGCTACTCTCCCTATTTCTCCTTGCCTTTCTCACTCTTAAACTCAACTTTATGTTATACAGTTGTCTGTACATGCGGCGCACGCTGTTAGATGACAATATGGCGGTCTTACTGAAATGCTACACCCAGATTTTAAAAATAATAATAATTTAAGAAATGTATAAGAGTATAAGACTCAAAGTTGGGTCGTCCATGATGACCATGTAAATCACTACAGAAGAATTTGTTTGTCTAAACAAACAAAATTATAAACACCTAATTCCAAGAGAAATAGAGAACACAAAGCTCAAATAAATCCATTCAATTTATTCTTTTATATATAATCCACTTCATCATCAAGTTTCAGTCATCAGGCAACAACCGTGTTCGAATTCTCATGAGAGGTAAGCTTCTATGTCAATATGAAGAAAATGAGAAAGATCACTCCACATAAATCACTCGGCCACTCATCTACTCAATCACTCACATGTGGCATGCATCGTGTCTATTGAAATAGTTTTCTTCATAATTAAGAAATATATCAATATTTTTTCTAAAATTATATTCCTATATAGTATATGAATAATCTTGGTTAGGATCATAATCCATAGTATTTCATTTCTGATTTCATGCTTATGTCAAAAATTCTTCAATTAGGTGTCAATAAAGGAAATAAAAGATGAAAGCAATATACAAGGAAACAACAATCAATCAACATAGAAAATGAGGGAATCATGTAGAAAAGAAATTAATAAGCAATTAAGTATACTATTATTTTTTTTGCATTATCTTGAATAAGCAATTAAGTATATCATATCACAGTCAGGATCACAATCACAACTGTCCTTGCCCTTCCGTTATGAGCAAACAAAAGTACTCCCTCTGTTCTAAAATACAAGGGACCCAAGTTAGTTCTAAGTCAAACTATAAAAAGTTTGACCAAATTTATAAAGAAAAGTATTAATATCAATTACATCAAATATGTAAATTATAAATATATTTCATAAGGTATCCACTTATGCTAATTTGATGTCATAACTATTATTCTTCTTTTCTATAATTTTGGTCAAATTGAAGATTGGACACACTTTGACTTAGGGCAAATTTGGATCCCTTATATTTGCCTCAACAGGTAAGAATGTCTCGAGTTCAGGAAACAGAAGTTAAGAAAGTGAACATTAGTGAACTGGTCAGCTCCATGACTCAAGAACTCGATTATTATTGGTCAGCTGACATTGATCATGGAACAGAAGCATGCATAATCTACAAGATCCAGCAACATATACGCGATTCTGATAGATTCTCATATGAGCCTTGCATTGTATCGTTGGTCCATATCATTATGGATCTGCAAGTTTGCAAGATATGCAAAAAGTAAAATGGGGTTATCTGGATGTAATCATCAGGCTAAACTGCCAGAGGAATTTGCTTGATTACCTAACTACAGTAGGGGCACTCGCGAAACAGGCAAGAAATTGTTATTCCGAAGACATCAAGATGGATTGTGAGACCTTTCTGCAGATGCTCTTGCTTGATGGGTGCTTCATTTTGTGTTCTCTTGGAGCTGTAGCAAGACTTGTGGATAATAGACTAGAATGTCAAGAATCTACGAATCCTCAGGAAACAGTAGCTACTGAAGGGGAACATCCGGAACATGTGAAGACTGAGGATACCACAACAGCAAATGATGTGTCCTGTGAAGAATGGGCCGATAGAGAAGAGAACTCTGGTGATTCACAATCTCATTATCAAACTGGGAGTTGGTTTATTAGATATGTCAATCACGACCTATTAGTGCTAGAAAATCAGATTCCCTTTTTCATCGTGGAAAAAATATTTGAGCTTGTCACAGGTAACTGTGCTTCACCGCCATGTTTGACAGATGAACTTGCTCGGTATGTTGAATCTGCTTTGCACTGGTATCCAAAAGCAATTATGGATTCGGACCGACCAAAACATTTTCACCATTTGCTTCACTTGTGTCATATTTACTTCCAACCGAGTAGGAGGCCGGAGGAATACCACAATTCTAAGTTGGGACCCCACTACATTAGCAGATTTCTCAGTTTTGGACGGAAGTATTTCAGAATCAGCTCTAATCTAGAAAATAGTAATCACGATTCATCTCAGGACGAAATGAATCTGCTTCAATATGGGAATCAACTTAATCGCTGGAAACGAGCTGCACAATATCTAGAAGCTGGAATCAGATTTAAGAGACGGGAATATGATAAATTCGACCCTCATTCTCTGCTGGGCATTGGATTTTCCAATGGTGAAATGGAGATCCCATGCCTTGTTATTGATGAACATGCAGGAAGTCTTTTCAGGAACCTCATTGCATTTGAACAAACCTGTCCTCAGTTTGGGGATAACTTCACTGCTTATATTGTTTTCTTGTCTCAGCTTATAAGTATGCCAGAAGATGTTGCACTGCTTGCTCAAAGAAAAATCGTTGTGCACCACCTTGATACTGACGATAAATTGTCTGATCTCCTCACTTTGCTCAGTAGAGATGTGGTCTTCGATTTCAGTGGTAGCTATTATTTGAAATCTCTGTGCCAGACTATGGAAGATCACTATCAGAGCCACATCAACAGGTGGATGGCATGGCTGTGGCTGAATCACTTCAGCAACCCATGGTTGGCTGCAGGTGCAGTTGCGACAGTCATCGTCCTCGTCTGCACAATTGTGCAAACCGTTTATGGTATTCTGGCGTATGTTAATCCGCCAGAGTAGATATAGCAGCAGCAGAAATCTGTACAAATTTCAGGCCCTGATGAAGACAGTTAGACAGGAGTAAATAGGAGGAGCAATGCACTCGTTCAGTTACTGTAAGTTTTGTAGCAGTTGATGCGATGAGTACGCTGCTTACTGTAAATAAGTTCTTTTTGTTAAGGGTAAATAAGTTGTTTGTAAGAACTGAATGAGAATGACGCAACTATGATTCATCTGTAATGCAGTAGAGTTTATCATCTTCATAAAGGTGTTCCTTTAGACTGAATTCCTGGAAGATTTCGAGTGCGATTATAGGAAGTTCAAATGTTTGTGACAAAATGCGTAGATGGTCCACGTAATCTTTACTCCCTCTTGTCCCAAAATAAGAGCCATTTTTGAGATACGTATAGGTCAAAGTTTTTTATATTTGACTCGGTTTGTAGAAAATATGTGTAACATTTATATTTCAAAGTAAGTTTATTATAAAAATATATTCAACGATCTATCAAATAATTATTATTATGTAATATATAGAAGTGTTTGACTTTTTGGAAGGTGAAAATGATATCTATTTTAGGACGGAGCGAGTACATTTTTTAGTTGCCCCAACTCCCAAGTGTCAACTTCATTGTGGAATGTGAATTAAATTTTTGCTATGGTTTGCAAGTTTGCAAAGCTGAGGAGAGCCTGTTTGTTTGGCTATGGCTTGTCGTAAACAATAGTAAATTTTCAGCCGGAACAATATTTTTCTCTCACACAAACCAGCCAGCAGTATTTCTTAACGAACCAGCAACGAAACGAAACAGCCAACCCACCAGGCAAGATCGTGATCCTGCAGTGCACCACTGTTCCTGAACCGCCTCTTCAGAGTTCCAACCCACAGTGAGTGAGACTCCATGACCCATAAACCGTCCTCTCCACGACCGCCACGGCGCCACCATCATCCCGTCCACCGGCTCGCCACCCCACCTCCCCCCTCCACCACGTCCCCGCACCGCATCACCTGCTGTCACGCTCCGGTCCGCACCCCGCGGCAGCCGCCGCTGTCCCCACCAACCCGCCCCCTTTCCCATCCCCGATGTCCACCCCGTCGGCACCACCGCCCTGCCCGCACCTCGCCGCGCACCGCCTGTCCTCGCGCCCGCTGCGCTTCCTCCGCCGCTGCCTGCGCG